CTCTTCCCCAAACAGACAAATTAAGCCCTCGACCAGAGTCCCAAACATCAAGTCCTCTGGGAGCTAGGCTGCCCCTACACAGAGAGGCTCCAAATGTAAAAGAAATCAGAAAGAGGTATCTCCGTGGAAGGGTTGCAGGGAGGCCCGAGGCTTGTCGGCTGGGAACAAGGCCAGAATGCTCCCTTTTGCTGAAAGAGATTTTCTCGTGCCCGTGGCCAAGCTGCGGACACTCTGGAAGACCCCCAATGGGGCTGGTGTCCTGGGCCCTGTGCGGGTACAGGTGGTGATCTGCCTCATTTACGCTCAGTGACTTCCACTCAGAGCAAGGATGCTTCATTCCCTTGAGGATGTCCTGCCCCACTTGTACACACAAGTGTTCTTAATATTCTCCAATGCTCTCAAGCTTACGGACACGGTCTTTCACCTTCCTGGGATGGACCTCTCTCTCGCCTGCTTCGTTTCTCAGAGGATTTGGGTCAAGGACAATTTGCTTTCCTGCCTCTTTCCTTCAGACTGCTCTCCCCAAACTGGCCCCACCCATTCTAGACCCTGAGGTCACCACCGTGTCTCTTGCCCAAAGGAGCGCGACCATCCAGTTTCCAGAGGAGCCTCTGCTCTGTGTCTGCCTGCACGGCTGGGCATGTGACAGGCGTGCAATAAACTGGCAGAATGAACCTCGCTGGCTTAGTCAGGCAATACATCATCAAGAGGCTTAAGAATGCTAGATTTTTCTGGGCCCAGGGCATGTTCTGAAGTTTCATGTGTCAAGAAATAAGGACAGAGCTGGGAATAACTTAATCATCTGTCCAAAGAACTCACAGCCTGACACAGCTCGGAGTCCCCAGTGCGTTCTTGGTTCCCATCACCTCGCAGGTGCCTGCGTGTGCTGACTGGCGGGCCATCGGGATTAATAAATACAAAGGTTTTGCTGATGTGCAGGTACAGAAAAGTCACCTGCAGCTGCTCTGTCGTGACTGATTAATTAGGAAAAGACTCCGTGGTGCTAATTGGCGGTTGAGAATTTTTGGAGTTTTAACATTCATGGTATGCAAACGGATCAATGTCTAACAATATCTAACAAGATCATTTGAAAGTGAGATTCTCCTGAGAAGTGCAATCATGGTTTGGGGAAGCTGTGAGGACCCTCCGTGTTGTACATACTTGTGTCAATCAACACAAAGTTTGTTAGCAATTGTACTAATGTTTTTCAGCAAATGGAGACACCGGCCAATGAATATGCATTAAATGTAATTCTACCTACCTGTTGCCCTCAATCCCAGAAGCAAGGACCATTACATTGCAGAAGTTTGATGAACATTGTCTCCAGCTCATATGACTTGGAAATGAGTGAGTTTGCCCAGTTTGGGGGAAAGAGGCCCACGTGAGGCTCAGTGCTTTCTCAGTTTCCACGTGGAAAGCTCTAAATTGAAATCCATACCTCTAGGGAGTGAGATAAAAAAAAAAAAGAAAGAAAGAAAGAAAAAGAACTGTTGGGCCCCAAAGGGACCATTTCCCATCATAATGAGAATTTTAAATGGCGGGTTTAAATTCTTTGAAAAGCCTTTCAGAAATGGGTGTGCAAGTGATGGCTCCTGAATTACCAGCAGAGATGCAATTAGAGACAGAACATGTCACTCCAAGTTCCCAGCCTGAAGACCCTTTCCCTTGTCCCGGGAGGAGGGAGCACACATGGCACACACAGCCCAGGAACCCAAGGGAAGGGCCCTTCCAGTCACCCCAGCTGCTGCATTTGAATCCAGAAGGGAAGGATGCACCATGAGAGAGCCAGAAAGCCACATGGCATTTCTTCCCGATGCACCCACCTCTTCCTCACCTGGACACAAGCTAGCTAAACCCAGGCTAGGAGCCTGTCCAAATGTTAGCAGAAACCTCCCAACTGCACCCACATGCATGGGTAGTTCTAACAACCGTTCCCTGAGCATGTACAGGTGCAGGGCTCCCTACGTGCCCCACGTAGGCCACCGGCTTACATCGTCAGACTCTCTGGGGCAGCGCATGCGGTCAGCTCCCCGTGTTCCTGGGAGATGGGGAAGCGGCCAGATTTGGGAATGTGGTACTTGAAGGAGCTGGAGGCAGCCTGCCTCCTGGGTTAGCTTCTGGCCTCCATCAACCCCCAGCTGTGCAGGTGGGTGACCTTCTGAGCTTCCTTTACTTCCCCTGTAAAATGGAGATAATAAGATCACCTGTCCTGTGGGATCGTTGTGAGGATTGAATGACCTCATCCTTGCCTTGCACGGCCTGGAAAAAGCACCTGCTGTTATTCCAAAGGTTACATTGTTTGGCCATTACAAGTAAGCAATGGGGGAAGTTGAGGTTCCAAGCGATGTGTTCACCTCCTGGATGACCTCCGCATTATGCTAAGAAGTGGGGGGGGGGGGTTGTTTTGATTTAAACACAGTGGTGAGAGAAATGTAGCCTCTCTGAGTAGCCTCAGGGACATCGGTTGTTTTTCACCCTGCGAGGCCCAAAGCTGGGGCCAGAAACATGGTAGGTAGGGCTGGCTCGATAAGTGTTCAGGAATCCAGCCCAGGCCATCCTCCTTAGTGGGATGTACAAGGCTCCCAGTAAGCCAGCCTCGCCTGGACTCCCATAATCACGGTCACCCAGCCCCCCGTTTATCCTGCCCAGACGGGTGGCAGGTCCTAGTGCACAACAGAACAATGGCCCCCAAGGTCAGCTCCTGATCCCTGGGATCTAGAAATGTTACTGGATTTGAGAAAATGGTTTTTGTTGATGTAAATAACTTAAGAACCTTGAGACAGAGACGTTATCCTGGGTCATCTAAGTGGGTCCAAATGCCTCCACATGGGCCCTTACAGGACGCGGGCAGGGGGGCATCTGACACAGGCATGGAGGACAAGGCCTTAGGACCACGGACACAGAGAGCAGAGCAACACAGCCATAAGGTAAGGGCCGCTGGCAGCCACCAGGACACAGAAGACACAGGACACGTTCTCTCCTAGAGCCTCCGGAGGGCACGTGGCCCTGCAGACAAACTGAGTTTGGACTTCTGGCCTCTGGAAATGTAAGAGAATAATTGTGTCTTCTTTAAAGCTGCTCAGTTGCTTACAGCAGCCACGGGAGCTCACACACACGGGTCTTTACACCCCCTGCCTGTGAACACTTTGCTTTCTTCTACCCGTAGGACACTGTCCACCTTCGTGTGTCTAAGTGATGCCTACAAGGCCCTGAGGCTCCCCTTCCTCCAGGAAGCCTGCTGGGACCATGCCTCCTGGTCCTCACCCCTCCCACAGCACCCGCACTGACACAGCCTCTTTGCTTGTTTTTCTCCCCAACTAGACTAGGGGCTCCTCGAGGACGGGGGTCGTCCTCTCTGCCAGTGTCTGACCTAGGGCTGTGGATGAACAAGTGCATTCTCTCATTCCTACTAAAAGTCCCCCACAAGGCTGAGCATGCTGCCATTGAAGAAAGGAACACGGAGACGTCAGGAGTCAGCACTTCCGCTGCTCTGGAGTGTCGCAGGGAGGTTAGGTTTCCTGCAGAGTCTGCAGATAGGTCCTCAAAGCCGCCGCGCACGCGGAAGACAGGCTGGGACATCCCACAAGGGCAACAATGATGGCTGTGGGACTCCTGGAGAAGCACGGACCTGTCTCCTAAGACGAGAGCCTAGTGCTTTGCACAGAGACTTAGATGCAGAGCAGTGAGACTTCGCAGGAACTCTGTCTTGTGCTGAGGAATAAAAGGAACATCCCCATCTGCGTGGGGGCTGCGGGAATGGGCGGAGGATGACCCTCACCATTGAGGTCACACATTGAATTAGGACTTGGATGAGCCACTCTGTGCCTTGGGCGAGGTCACTCAAATGCCCTGCCTCTGAATGAGGGCCTTGAACTCGGTGGTGCGTTCACATCCTTTCAACTCTAAAATAAGATGACATTTAACAGGAGCCCTGTGCACTGACAGAACTGGAGTGGCCGTCAGTGGAACAGCCCCGTATTGTTGACAGATCTGGCCAGATGCCAGAGATGCATGGCCTCGCCTCTGAGTGTCCTTGAAGGCCAGCCTCTGGACAAGGGACAGCAGTGTGTCCAAGCCCGTCGGGTGTGGCTTCCTGTCACGGCACAGAAAAAGACCCTTGTCTGCACTCGCCACTTCTCTGCCTCCAGGGCACTCGCTCGCGCTCTGACCACGCATCTGAATTCCACGTGGGGTCTGGGGTGGAAGGAGGATGTCTAGGACACATCAGAACGTGGTATCTGGGATCTTGTTAGGTAGGAACCGGGGTTTGGTCTCCTCGGCCAGGCTTCATCCTTCCTCGGCTCTGGGCTCTGCGGATCCTTGGGTGCTGTTCAGATGCCGTTGGCAGCAGGTGCAGAAGGTACGACTCAAAATGGGTCTCAAGCAGTAGGGTGTGGACTGGGGACAAGAACTAGAACATTGGGATCCAGGCAGAACGGGATGCAGCTTGTGCTAATCTGGGCAGCAGCAGGGCTCTGTGGAACATGCGTGTCGTGTCGCTCGTTCTGTGGTTCGCGGTGGGTGGCCATGGGTAAGTTACTTCACTTCTGTAGGACTCAGTCCCCACCTGAAATGTGCAGGTGCCCCAGTCCTTTCCCTCTTGGGTGTTGTCCTAGGTCTAAACATGCCCCTCCATGATACCATGTCAAAACCCCGAATGCTACCCTATTGGAAAAAGAGTCTTTGCAGACACAACTAGAATTAAAGATCTTGAGATGAGGTTATCCTGGATTGTCCCAGTGCAGTGGGCCCCAAATCCAATAATCACTATCCCTGTGACAGATCCACAGAGGAAAAGGCAGAGATTGAAGTGGTGTCACCACAAGCCAAGTGTTGCCAGCACCCCCCAGAGCTGGAAGAGGCCAGGACCCTCCTCCAGAGCCTCCAGAGGACCAGAGCCCTGGGGACACTTTGATAGTGGACTTGCAGCGTGCAGAACGGAGATCATAAATGTGTTTTAAAAGCCACCAAGTTTTCAGTAATTTGCTGTGTACGTCAGCTCTAGGGAACTAATGGGGGTTATGAGGATTAAGTAAATTAATTCTTATCAAGTGCTCAGTGAGACATTCAAAGCAGAGAGCTCAGGGGGCATCAGAGATACACAGAGCCTGCGAAACGCAGCCGTGACTTCTCACAACACGGGTTTCCATTCTGTTGTTACGTGTCCTCCTCATAGAACGGGCTTGCCCCGTGTGAGATTTTGCTGTGTGAAGATCTTAGTATTAGTCAATCCAATAAACGGGACGTTTCCTCTCAGAAACTGTTCACGTAAAATAAAGTGGATGGAAATCGCCAGTTGCCTCTCCCCTTAGTTTACTAAATAAATAAGCCAATGAAGAAACCAACATATGTTGAGTACCTACTCCATGCCTGACCTGATGCTAATTTAATCTATGATGCGTTATTCACCCTCCCAACAGTCACATTCATTAATTCATGGGGTGTTTACTGAGTGTTGACCCTGCGCAGGCTTTTATTCCAGAAATGGGGATAAAACAGTGAACTGAACATCCAAAACTGGACAGGGCTCCCTGTCCTCACTGGGTTAACTTTGGTCTGGGGTTAGAGGCAATGGGAACATAAACTGAGTAGAGCAGCAAAATAAATTAGATATGGTGATGAAGGCAGAGAGCAATACAGTAGTGAAGGTCAGGAGGGATCCCATGAGCACCATGCCCAAAGGCCAAGGCCCCGAAGGCGAAAGAGAGTCCCAGGGAGTGCCAGTGGGTCAGGGGAGGCATGGCTGGACAGGGATGGTCCCTTGGTCCTAGGACTGGGAAGAAGCAGCCGGGGAGTGGAAGGAAACTGAGGAGGGTAGGAAAGAGCCAGGTGGAGGTGTGTTTCTGGAAAGCAGGGGAGGCTTGAGGGGTCAAACGCTGCCTCAGGTCAAGGAACGTCAGCCTTTGGGCTGACCGCTGATGGGATCACGTCAGCATCGTGGGGGAGCCTCAGGAAAGCCGGAGGAGAGTGCCAACCCTGCCACACTCCTCTCATTAACAGCACCTCTGTTCTATCTGTGGAGCTGTCCAGTCAGTCAAGACCCTCTGTTTCCGTTGGCCGAGGTAAGGTGTGGTGCCCAAAGCACACCTCCTCCCTCTTCTCCTCTCTCATAGACATTCTCTTCAACTAAAACACGGCAAACCAAACCAAAGAAGTCATGGTTCATCCCATCTAGATGCACCGTGAAGCAACCTCCATTTGTCCTTCCTCCTGCTAGTGTGGGGCTGCTCTATCTCCTCCATTCTAAGACTTTACCTTGATTCTACCATTCCATGTCGTTTTGTGAACCAGCTCTTTGCAGGGGCCAGGTTTTAGCCAGCCAGTCAGCTTCTGAGGGTTCCATCCAAAGAACCCCAATGGGCAGGAGACAGCGAAGCTACAATTTTGCACTAATTTCTTCTTATTTCAAATTCTGTCCTCTTTCTGCCATGCCACAGCTGCCTCCTTTAGAAGCTGCTCCAAGAGGAAGCAAGATCTTATAAGAACAGCATGGTCAGAAGCCGACACCATCGGACAACTTACAAGGGGTCTCCCAAGATCCCTCCAACTTTTGCTCAGACTTGGGCCCACGGGAGGGGAGACGTCTTGGATTGGCTGTGCACCTGCCGGTCAGCCCACCGGATGGGAACATGGCCAGGGCGGGGGGCGGGGAGGAATTGCACCCTTGGCTATAACTCAACAGGAACGTTCCATCCAGCAATTTTGTAGGTTTTTTGTTCTTAGGAAACCTGAGAAGTCATCTCACTTTGTGTGTTTTGGTAAAGGAACCAAGTTTAATGTTAAGCCGTGTGTGTATGTGCCCATCGTTCCGGGGTGATGTTTCTCTGCGGCAGGTGGATTTCCCTGGGGGTGGTTGCAGTAGAGACCGCCCCCTGGTATCAGCAGTCCCATCACTGTAGACACAAACAGGACATCTACTTCAGATTTCTCCCTGGGTTATGCTCATCCCCACTCAAAGCAATATCTGACTGACACCTTTCGCCAAACTCCACACCACAGACATACACTCACCTGCACACACGCACACACCTGATTTTTCTGATCACTCATTTACTTTTTGGTGGGTTTCATTGTCTAAACGCTCCCAATTATTCCCTACATGTAATAAAGCTCCAATCCACTCCTTTAGCCCCCAACTTTGAAGGAAAGAAAGCTGAACAAAACTTTTGATTTGGCCGTGTTCCCCTCCTAATTTCATTATGCATATTAAATTTTTACTGTCGACAACCTTGTTTAGAGGGAAAATCATTGGTTTGGCTTTTTCTTAAACTATCAGATGTTTTATAGACCTTCTAATGGCGTGTTTGGTGTGAAATTAATTATCAAAGATTCGCAGAGAGTTTTAAATTAGATTTTTTCTGTTCTTCAAGGCAAACAACTGGTTCTGTTTTTGTCACTAATATAAGGTTCTCATTGCTGCCTTTTTTCCCCCTACAATGAAATGATAAAACAAATCTTCAACTTATTTTAATGTGCTAATTGAGGGTTATTACAATTCATTTTCCTTGCACAAGCAAGTTAGAAGGGATTTTAATTGCCTCCTATACAAACATTTATTTGTAAAGAGAAATGATATATAAAACTAAGGGCCCGGAAAAACTTGTTTGGGCAATGTGCTAAGGCAAATCTATGGTTTTCTGAATAGATACTTAATGCCTAAACCAGTTTCCCTTTTGGATTGCGGATCCATATGTATGCATTGGTGTCAAAGCTCTGCAGAGATGCTAGTAGGAGGTAGAAAGATCCAGAAAGAGAAACAAATACAAGATGGCTTCAGAGCATTGGTGCTGCCCCGCCCAAGAGCGTGGGGTAACTTCCCAACAGGTACATGTATCCCAGTGTGGATTAAATGGTACCTGCAACCCCCCAGGGTTGCCGGGTCCCACGCCTGGGGACGCCAGAAGATGTGCCAATGTGGGCGGAGTTTTACGCTGAGGCGACGGATGCATGTCCTTGGCCGCCACTCCTTCCCCTGGCGTGTCCCTATCACTTCCCCCTCCAGTGTGTCGTCAAGCCTCAAACCTGCCGGAGCTAATTATTGTGTGGGATGACAGGTTTAAAGACATACAATCAGAAAATAATGATCAGATAATGCTTCTCATTAATAGTTCAAGTCCAGAAAACACTGCGGGCAACAGTCTCAAGGCCCTGGCTTCTGGAATCCGGATTTCTGCTTTGAGGCTGGGGAGGCGCTCCCTGTGGCACCTTTCTGGAGTTAGAATCCCAGCAGAGGCTGGAGAGGTGCTGTGTTGTGGGAGGTGATGGGGGAAGTGGCAGTGAGGAGACTCAGTGCTTGTAGACATCCTGCCCCTGCCAGGTCCCTGACCCCATCCTCTAACCGCTGACTGCTGCAGACTTGGGGGTGCCCCTGGGCCAAGACCTGCTGGCTGTTCCACCCCATGCCTCCTTCATGCCTCATAACCCATGACCCCATGGATGCACCTGGGTCGATGACTTTTAACACTTTCAGTAGATGGAGGTAGACAGGCCAGGAGGATGTTTTTCAACACTCTTGCAACAGGGGTCAAGACTACGCCAACAAGGGACAGAGACTGGATGCAACTCACAGCTGGGGAGGCCATTTATAGCCAACAGGCAGGGTGAGGGGGTCAAGGGGTAGAAAATTACCAAGAGGGGCACCTGGATGGCTCAGTCGGCTAAGCGTTTGGCTCTTGGTTTCAGCTCAGGTCATGATCTCACCATTTGTGGGATTGAGCCCCACGTCGGGCTCTGCGCTGACAGCGTAGAGTCTGCTTGGGATTCTCTGTCTCTCCCTTTCTCTCTGCCTCTCCCTCCCTCATGCCATCTCTGTATCTCTCAAAATAAATAAATAAACTTCAAAAAAAAAAAACAAAATTACAAAGAGGAACTTGATTGGATACCAAGGAAAAGTGGAGCCTCACTCAACTGGCTTTAGCAGGATTCTTGCGAAACGGAAGTTTGCTCAAGGAGGAACCCTTGTCGATGTGTGGGGTAGGGGGAAAGAGAAGGGCACTGGTGGACAGCCTTCTGTGCTTGGCTCAGTGAGCTGGAATATCCCTCTGGACCAAGGGGAGGTCCTCCTGCCTCTTCCATCCACAGACTGGGCTACAGGCTGACCATCTCCTATGGTTACTCTTGCTGGGGCAGAGAATGTTCTAGCAACAAGCAGGCTTAGGCTGAGCACCCACTCCATTGGATCATCTCCCTGCCTTCTCCCCTGAAAGCCTGGGGTCTTCAGACAATGCGGAGCCAGGACCCTGGTGTTTACCCGGCTCCACAGAGGTAAGGCTCTGAGCCCCCACTGGACATTCTCCTTTCAGAAAGAAAAGGTGCCCCCGAGGGTGTGGGTTTCCTGCCACAGGCCGGTCACACGGGCTGGGATTCCGGCGTAGATCCGAGCCCAAGCATGGTTCCCACTTGTCCTTCATTCTCAGGATGGCCGCATTAGCTGGGCTCCCAGATGTGTGTGGAGTATAATTAGGGACATTCTGAAAGCAGCCCCAGACATTGGACTGAAAAGTCTGTCTCACTGCCTTCCGTTTCCCTCCCTCTGTTCGGAGGCTGTGGAACCTTCCACACAGCTGGGCCCCTGGGATGCCCTGCTTGGAGCCAGTGTCTGTGTGCCCTCTCGTTTCACAGAGCATCTGATACAAAGCCTGCAGTGTGCAGAACCCCCGGGGGCTCGGGGAGGGGAGAGAGGCGGCGGGGCGGGGGAGGAAGCAAGGGGGCCGCAGGAACAAGTTAGGGAGAGAGATTACCATGAAGGCAGCTAATGATGCCCTGAGTGCGCAGTGGGCCTGGGGGCGGGGGGCAGGCTGCCCACGCGGCTATGCCCGGCTCCACCTGGGGGACGCCCCAAAGCTGTTAAGTCACATGCTGGTCCTGCTCTGGTTTTTAGTAGCCACCAACAGGAACAAGTGAGTGATGTCAGTTAGCACTTGACCTTGGAGACTCTGCCCCAGGCCTGGGGAACTGCATTTCAGTCAGCTCCTCCCCGCTGGCCACCGTGTGGTGGGGTCACCTCCACCCTTCCTATCCACTCCAGCTTCCTGTGTTCCCCCCACCCCCCAGAGGCCCAAGCTCCCAACCAGAGGGTCCTTTATGGCTCCAGATATACCAGGTTTGGGCACCAAACACACAGGAACCTGGGCCCCGCCTGAAATACCACCCTGTCCCTGAACGCTGAGCTCCAGCTCAGATCCAAACAGCTGGCTTTGGTCCCATCCTCGCAAATCCCCTTGGAAGGTGGCGGGATGTGGTACCCCAATATACGCCACTTTGGCACTGGATTCTCTTGAGCTAAAGGCACAGGGCAAACAGCAGGTGCAAGATGCTAGGAGCTCTGAATCCCCTTTCCTTCCTGAAGGCGGGAGCTAAGATTCCCACGTAGAAGACGCCACCTCTGCACCAGGAGGAAGAAACGTTCCAGTCACCCGAGAGGGGGAGCAGAGGCCGAGAGAGACGTCTGTGCAGACAGACCTCATGAAAATAAGCCTCCTCCCCCGAAGTCCCTTTTCCACAGCCGCTTCTGCTCAGACGGGCCCATGAGCACTGGGGCTCTGTTGCTGTTTGGGGCCTTCCTTTCCCTCGAAGGAAACGTAAGCATCTGTGTGCTCTCCTGTTAACCCTCCTGTGTCAGCTTTGTTCCTAGGTGCAGCCAGAAACTCTCGAGGGCAGAGGGAAAGCGTCTGCAACCCTGCACCTTCCTTGGTCTTCCTGGACGTTCAGAGCATCCTCACCAAAGCCTCCTCCTACCACGTCCTGGGTTCTTTCGCCGCTTCAAAGTTTAAAGATCGAGTCAAATTTGAGATCGCTTTGCATCGCTCTTATGGCTGAACACTTACACGGCATTTTAAACAATCTGTTGCTCGAGTCCCTTGCTCTTGGAAAAAGAACTCCAAAGTGCTGATAAGTCCTGCGTTTCCTGTGTGCTAGGACCTTGTGCTGAAGAGGCACCCGTTCAAACCTGGGAAAGAGGTCGGCCGTAAACTTCCCTGAGTCAGGTGCAAATAGGACATGATGAAGTTTCTTGGGGTGGCAGTTGGGGCTCGTGGGGTCCGGAGCTGACGACCAAGAAAGAATTCTTGAAGACGTCTTTGGTGCAAAAAAGGTGATTTTAGTAGAGACGGGGACAGGACTCCTGGGCAGGAGAGACTGGTTATATATTTGGGAGTCGGGGGGAGGTGAAGTCCAGGGGAAGTTTCCAGTGAGACTTTCACAAACTAAAGACCCTCCCAGGGTCTTGGAGGCCTGGCTATTGTCAGGCTAAGGTTGTTTTCCCTCCAGCAAAGCATCAGCAGCAAGACAGTGGGGGTGTCTGGCGTTTTGCTCTGCCGGCCTCAAGTATCTGTCCATGGGCCGCAGGTTAGAAGGAAATTTAGTTCTACGTGCCCTTTCCTTCTGCCTTTGTTTTCCCGTCAGGAGACAGCCCTGACTGCCTCCCGGGACCTTTGCTGGTTGCGGGGGGTGACGGCACTCTGGGCCGATGGTAGGTGACGGCCACGGGTTCTGAGCAGGAACCGGCTCGCTTCTGAAACTGTTCCAATCCTCCTCGCCCTTCGCTCAGTCCTGCGCGCACCTCGGCACGGAGGTGTGCTTCGTTGCCGGGACAAGGGCTCTTATTAAGCACAAAAGGAGTCACCTTTAGCACAGGCCAGAGACCACCGGCCGTCTATCTTCATTTTAAAACTGTAGCCACAGAAGCCAGCGGTACTGAGAATGTGATTTTCCTCCCTAGGACCCACAGGGAGAAAAGACGCTAATGATGTTCCAAATGTTGATGGTTCTCTGGCCCCAGGAGACAGCCTGCAAGGAAGGACCATTTGCTTTAGTTCAGGGAGCCCGGGGTGGGGGCAGGGACAGCTGCGCCTTCCCCCAGATGTGTAATTGCCATATTGTTTCTCCTTCCGCACCCCCTGCATCTCAGGGACCTCGGGCTATAATTAATTCTCGAATCTGGCAATAAATCAAAGCTTCGAAAATTACAGAAAACTTTTCTCCCCTTTCCAAACGGCTCTGCTGGCTGCTTTAATGTTCTCTCTCCTACTGTGTCTCTAACCACCTGAAACCTGGGCAGACATTCCAGGAAATGATTCTGAGAACAAACCCGCGTTTCAGTCTCTGGAAGCTGGAGTCGAAAAATAAAAATAAAACCAGAAATAGCATCCATTACCCAATCTGGGTCATCTCGTTTTTTATTGGATGCAGACATCCCTTGAGGCTGTGGTTCGGAATCAGGAATGACC